AATGCTGCCTTGTAGTTTGAGAATGCTGCCTTGTGGTTATACAACTCTGCCTCGAGGTTTCAATTTATGCTTAGAACACTATATATGAGTTACATTATAGTTTGCAAGTGCCGCCTCGTGGTTTGAGAATACTCCCTTGTAGTTTGAGAATGCTGCCTTGTAGTTTGAGAATGCTGCCTTGTGGTTATACTACTCTACCTTGTGGTTTTAATTATGCTTGGAACACTATATATGAGTTATATTATACTTTGCAAGTGCCGCCTTGTGGTTTGAGAATGCTGCCTTGTAGTTTGAGAATGCTGCCTTGTGGTTATACAACTCTGCCTATGAGTTATATTATAGTTTGCAAGTGCCGCCTTGTAGTTTGAGAATGCTGCCTTGTAGTTTGAGAATGCTGCCTTGTAGTTTGAGAATGCTGCCTTTAGGTTTCAATTCATGCTTAGAATACTATATATGAGTTACATTATAGTTTACAAGTGCCGCCTTGTGGTTTGAAAATGCTGCCATGTAGTTTGAGAATGCTGCCTTGTAGTTTGAGAATGCTGCCTTGTGGTTATACAACTCTGCCTTGAGGTTTCAATTTATGCTTAGAACACTATATATGAGTTACATTATAATTTGCAAGTGCCGCCTTGTGGTTTGAGAATACTGCCTTGTAGTTTGAGAATGCTGCCTTGTAGTTTGAGAATGCTGCCTTGTGGTTATACTACTCTGCCTTGAGGTTTCAATTTATGCTCAGAACATTATATATGAGTTGCATTATAGTTTGCAAATGCCGCCTTGTAGTTTGAGAATGCTGCCTTGTAGTTCGAGAATGCTGCCTTGTGGTTATACTACTCTGCCTTGTGGTTTTAATTATGATTTGAACACTATATATGAGTTATATTATAGTTTGCAAGTGCCGCCTTGTAGTTTGAGAATGCTGCCTTGTAGTTTTGGAATGCTTCCTTGTGGTTTTAATTATGCTTAGAACACTATATATGAGTTACATTATAGTGCCGCCTTGTGGTTTGAGAATATCCCCTTGTAGTTTGAAAATGTTGTATTGTACTGTAATACTCTGCCTTGAGGTTTCAATTTATGCGTAGAACATTATATTTGAGTTGCATTATAGTTTGCAAGTGCCGCCTTGTGGTTTGAGAATATCGCCTTGTAGTTTGAGAATTTTTGCTTAGAACACTATACGATATATATGAGTTTTCATTATAGTTTTCAAAATCAAATTTGCAAAACGTATGTGTTCTTTTACTAACAGAAAATAGATTTCAGATTTCAGATTGAAGACCTTTATTGTATGTTCTTTATATTTGAAAATACAAAGCATTATTATAAACTAAAATTAACTATTAACAGTTCATATGGATAACATGTACTATACTGTGTTACATCATGTATAATTCTAATAATATTGTCACATACATAGGAAAATCTATATTTGACATGTTTAATATTCAGATAAATACAATAAATATGATTTACAGATGTAATGTTGCATTATGTTCTTGCCTTTCTTAGTTGTCCAGATTACATACATGTAGGTATATTATATATAGAATAAACTGTTTTTCATACAATTATGACATCACAATATACAGATACATAGTACGGGTAAACTTTGAATTAAAAGAATTAATTATGATTTTACCTTTACCTGTATATTGTGATGTGTGTTAATGTATGAAAAACAGTCTACCTGATGAAGATTTTATTTTGTTTTTATTATATTGCAAATACGTTCTTATTGCAATTATACATTATTTTTAACAACAAAACCCTTCTTATTTTCACCCTGAGTCTCATTTAAAATCTAAAGTTAGTTTTGTCTATCTGAAATGTACCTTATCATTTCTCACAGTGCGCCAGAAGTACGACTTTTATAGGTCCCTTACACATGCCTACATCGGACCTGGTAATCTGACATTATCTTCGTAAATGCTTGCTCGAAAATCGAAATTTCCCTGAAAAGTCCAGGGTTTGATGATGGGGTGGTACTTAATTAACTCGCTAAATATAGTTTTATACCAGTGGGACGAAAAGTATCAATCCTTTAAAGTTTGTCCGAGAGAGAAATCTAAAACAATAGCAATGGTAATACTAGTTAGTTTTGTTATCTAGAAATTAAATCACAAAAGCTCAGTGACAATGGAAGTACAAAAACAATGTCGTGCATTATAAAAACAACAAGTCTGTCAACCACGGTTGTCTCCCGGTTATCTTGTTGATGAATGAATTTGCTTACTTGATGAATTAAAATGTGCATCTGTTAAAAGTGTATTAGGTATCCGGGATTAGGTATATGTTCTCTAAAGTGATAAGAAAATATGTATGCGCAAGGGCTCATACGAATCAGAGGAATTATTAAAGTATTTCAATTAAACACTCATGAATATGTTGGTCTGTCATGGCGGATTTTAACTAAGATATAAATGTACATTGGTTATGTATTAAGTTTCTACATAGTGTATGATCCTGTCCCTAGCCTCTCTGAGCTTACTCGGATTTAGAATGAAATAACTTTTGATTTTCTTTTAGAAGATACCCTGAAGTGTAGGAATCCATAAGTTATTTTTTCAGGTTTGGGTAAAATCAATTTTTATGGCAGGTTATAGTGGCGCCATCTAGTGATTTTAAAGTTGCAGGGTGATAATCTTAATTAATTTTTTTTTCAGCCAAACCTAATTTCATATTTATTTTTTTGCTGTTTCCTTAGAGACTACTTCCTAAACTATGCATTTGAATTTTTAGGTGATCCTGGAAGGCCATTTGATGGGTCATTTTGCCTCAAATATACAGAAGCGCCACCTATAATCAAGGGTCTACCTTATAAAGTTTATTATTCTGAGGCTGTTATGGTAGATAAAATTGTTATTATTGGTGTAATAATTAGAACCATAAAGGGGACATATGATGCAGTATCAAATTAATATATGTGGGACATGGGAACTTAGAAAAATTTTTTTTTGTAAAAGTGGAAGAAATTTGACAAAATATCAGTTTTTACATATTACCAAATACATTTGCTTTTTTATTTCTAAGGTAAACCTAACATGATGTAACAAGTAGAAAAATATATATTTAGACAAGTTAAGCTTATGGTTGACAATTACGGTTATTAATGAATACATTATAGACAGAATAAAACCATGCATAAAAGGCGCCATCTATAGAAAATATATTTTTCTATAAGTTTCATTTGTTTGTAAATCATGTATGATTTTTGAAGGCAAAGTAAGAAACATAGAGAACAATGACAAATTGAAAGCAAAATGCGCTTTTAGCCTCCCCAAGTCTTCCTGACCATTTCAAATATTGTACCTCCTAATAGATACATGCTATTTTATGAAATAATATAACCATATTTCAGATTCAAAGTATATATATCCACAGCAAAACACTTGAACGTATTAACAGAAATACCTCTATTTTTTAATAAAGAATGCACTGCTTTGAATTTCTAGAAAATAGATGTGATTACGAATATGACATAAATATTTTTGAAAACTCCTCCCTGATCTGATTCTACCTTTCACTAAAATGGCCACCATTTTGAAACGAGTGGCCATTTTGAAAATCAGCTTTCGAGCAGGACTTCTACCCCCATAGTGCACATATATTGTTCAATTTTTTAGATGTTGATGTGTTTATGTTATATAATTAAGTTTTTATACAGGATGTCCCAAAAAAAGTGCCACAAAATACATATATAATATATGTAGTTTTGTGGCATTTTTTGGTACACCCTATGTTTCAAAACATCATAAAGTTTTTGTAAAACTAATTAAATATAGTCTGGTTTTGTTTCATACAAAATTCAGATATGGATTTTGAACTAATGGTTTCATGAAGAGAGTTATAAATATCATGGGATAAAAAGCTTATTTACTGAGAGGGATTCAATATGGGTTTATAATGTGAAAATATGGGCCCTCAGGAAATATCATATTGTCCCTTGGACGGAATAAACCTCATATTTAATCCCTCCCAGTTGAATGGAAAATTGTGCTGAACGTTTTGCTTCGTTCAAAAATCTTTCAAAAATCGAGTGTTTCTAAGTACTTGGAAGCATCACAGATTTTAAATTGGATATTGCAAAATTTATGGTCGATTTAAATTAAAAAATAATCATTGGACTGTGCCAGTCAGCTTTTGTACCATACTGGTTCATTTCTGCTAGCTGCATGTACTAAGGGTGTGAAAGTGAAGTCTTCTTAATTATGGGAGCAGTTTCATGAACTTTATGGAATAAATTTTTCTAATTTTACAAGAATTCAATAGAAATTTTGATCCAATCCTCGATAGAGTCACATGTTATTTTTTAAATAAACAAGAAAATTCAGTTAGAAAATCCAGAAAATTTTCACAAAATGTTCTCACTGAATTTTCTAGTTTTTTTTATATATTTTATCAAAAAAATCTTCTCTTAACAGTGTTTCCTAGGTACATTAGTGCACTCTTTGTGCAAAACTGAAAGATGAAGACAATTTTGGGAAGGCGTGATTGATATCTAAAAATTAACATGTGACTCTATGGAGGATTGCATCAAAATTTTTATCATACAGAATTACCTTAACATACAGGGTGTCAAATAAGTCCCGTCCCCCCCCCTCTACAGCCAAAACCAAGATATATGGTATCAAGTGTGATATATCATTAGATAGATTGTCCAAAGTTACGTCGATTGGCATATAGCTGAAACCTGTCAATCAATGTTACAAATTGCTACATTGTATCAATTGAGGTGACCATAGACCTAAAAACATGGCAATTTTACATATTTATATTATTTTACACAACATTTTGTGTTTGGCTGTAAATTCAACCAATTTCTGGATAGGGTTATGTGTGTAGAAAATAGAGGGGTGAGGATAGTAATAGTGATAGTGAAAACTCTTTGGTAACAGGTGGAATGCCAATATTTTTGAGGTCAAATCCTTCTCATTTTGACTATAAAGGATACTATCAAAATATAGATAAATTTCATCCAAAATACTTGAGAGTTGGTGAGTTAACGTAACTTTGGATGATCTTTCCAATGGTATATCACACTAGGTACCATCTATTAAGGTCATGGCTGTAGAGGGGGGACGGGACTTATTTGACACACTGAATAAGTACTTTTAAATTATAAATGATTAATTACCAATTTTACAGCATCTATCTTGCTTGCCAGAAGAAAATCCTGAGACTGCCTCTTGCTGTGCTTTATAAATGTGACATCTTCACCAAATCGCTTACGCAAATATTTGGTGACAAGTTGCCCTTGAACAGGGCTACGTCGAAGGCGGTCACCGATCTCTTTGCAAATCTTTAATACAGAGAAGGCTTTTCCTGTATTCAAGTCTTGTTGAATTTCATTGATGACATCATTAAATACATCATACATATTTGATTTATCATGAAGAGAATTTGAATCAGTACTTTTCTGGTATTTATGGCTGTATTGTTTGTAACAATAGTTATGGTATAAGAGATCAGCTTCAATCACTCCTTTCACATCAGTGAGGTGACAGGTGCTGGTATACACTTCATCCTGTAAGTGTTGGGTTTGTACAAGAAACTTGGTAGCTTTCTTCTCTTCAGAAATTCGGGATTTTCATATGTTTTGTTTTTTGTGACCTGATTACAATATATACAAACATTCTGGTATTTAGGTACATCAACAGCTTCAACAGAGGGCCTTTGTGGTAGGGAACATTTCATTTGTTTGGGTTGTGCTGTTGACGAATGAGGTGTATTTCCAACCATTCCTTCAATGGTTTCTTCAGTATCAGTTTCAGTTTCTTCAGTTTCTTCATTCCTTTGTGGAAGGGAACATTTCATTTGTTTGGGTTGTGCTGTTGAGGAATGAGGTGTGTTTCCAACCATTCCTTCAATGGTTTTTTCAGTATCAGTTTCAGTTTCTTCATTCCTTTGTGGAAGGGAACATTTCATTTGTTTGGGTTGTGCTGTTGAGGAATGAGGTGTGTTTCCAACCATTCCTTCAATGGTTTTTTCAGTATCAGTTTCAGTTTCTTCATTCCTTTGTGGAAGGGAACATTTCATTTGTTTGGGTTGTTCTGTTGAGGAATGAGGTGTGTTTCCAACCATTCCTTCAATGGTTTTTTCAGTATCAGTTTCAGTTTCTTCATTCCTTTGTGGAAGGGAACATTTCATTTGTTTGGGTTGTTCTGTTGAGGAATGAGGTGTGTTTCCAACCATTCCTTCAATGGTTTTTTCAGTATCAGTTTCAGTTTCTTCATTCCTTTGTGGAAGGGAACATTTCATTTGTTTGGGTTGTTCTGTTGAGGAATGAGGTGTGTTTCCAACCATTCCTTCAATGGTTTTTTCAGTATCAGTTTCAGTTTCTTCATTCCTTTGTGGAAGGGAACATTTCATTTGTTTGGGTTGTTCTGTTGAGGAATGAGGTGTGTTTCCAACCATTCCTTCAATGTTTTTTTCAGTATCATTTTCAGTTTCTTCATTCCTTTGTGGAAGGGAACATTTCATTTGTTTGGGTTGTGCTGTTGAGGAATGAGGTGTGTTTCCAACCATTCCTTCAATATTTCTTCAGTATGCCGTTTTTGGGTGTATACTCTGTAGCAAGCATTGTTCATGTGATATAGAATAGGTTCGTTTTCAAGTTTGGCTACTTTCATACGTTGATAAACTTCATCATCTTTCATTTTGCTTATTCTAAGCAAGGTTGCAACACCTCTTGCTTGTCCCACAGTTGGCTTGACAACATTGCTGTTACTGTCTTTAAAATCATCTTGGCAGATAATACATTTTCCTCTTTCAAAGTTTATAGAAGCCATTTAGGAAGTTAACTGGAGAAGAAATAGATTGTTAGTGATTTTAAAATATTCAATCTCTGGGTCTCAAAAATACAGTCACAATTCAGGATCATGCATAGTTTATCATGTAACTGGGTTCATTTTAGTTATTAACGTTAATTCGTTAATCCATATGCAAGGAAATTTGACTTTCAAAGAAAAGCTGGATGTGATCATATGTTTTATTTTCCTAGACACCAACTTACATTCTATATTAGAAATAATTTGAATCATTCTAAGTGATCATAATTTTAATTCTTCTATTTTGTCGAAGATGAGCAATCTTTATATCTTAAATAAACCTTAAGCTTACTTACTTTAATCACATTTTAATAATTTTGTTTCCACCAATTCAATACATGTTCATCTGTAGTCTCAAATATATACTAAATACAAAAACAGAGGTTAGTCAATAAGTCAATTATAGAGGATTACTGTTTTAAACAACCTTCATGCTAATAAGATGTAAATTACCCCAAAATTAGCTGCCATAGCTTTTAACAGGAGTTTCAGTTTTGAGTTTGATATTAACTTATGATGGTATAAATATAATATAAAATTAGATCTAACTCCATTTGGGTGGGATAGATTGAAGGATCATTTTTTATTTGAAAAGTGTAGATACATCTTTTGAGAAGCTCTAATTTTATACAAAATGTTTCTGGCAAAAATTACCTGTAAAATAAAATATAATTTATTCTAAAAGTGCACACTTATGGAAATGATATGATTAATAGATGTTATACTCTATTAATACAAAGAAACTCAGGAAAAGCTTTTCATACATTCATTAAGTACCGTGTTGTATTTCCAGAAGTTGAGTCTTTGATATAATAAGGGGTGTATATCAAACACAGAATAATTAAATAATAATAATGGGCCAAAACCAAAATTCAGCCCTACAATTACTTCATTCATATTCTCAAAAATCAAAATGTATTTCTTTGTACTTGTTACATCATATAAGGATTACCTTAGAAATAAAAAAAGCATATGTATTTGGTAATATGTAAAAGCTGATATTTTGTCAAAGGACGATTCTCGGTTTGGAGAACGAAGTTCATCAATATAAATGAGCATTATCCCTGCTTCGGACAAATTTGATTTTTTTACATAATATAGAGTTGAAGGTCTTCTTTTGAATGGTCATAATTTAATTTGGGTAATATTTCTAGATTTTTCGCAAAAAAATATTAGCGCAGTACACTTATGAACTTTTTTCCCCAAATCGAGACTTGTATTTTATTGAATTGGTCTAATTGATTGTTATCCCTGCTTCAGACCAATTTGTTATTTTTACATCTTGTAGATCTAAATGTCCTCTTTTGAATATTCATAGTTTAATTTGGGTAATATTTCTATATTTTTCATGAAAAAAATTATTAGCCCAGGAGACTGTTCTCCAAACCGAGAATCGTCCTTTCTTCCACTTTTACAAAAAAAATTTTTTCTAAAGTTCCCATGTCCCACATATATTAATTTGATACTGCATCATATGTCCCCTTTATGGTTCTAATTATTACACCAATAATAACAATTTTATCTACCATAACAGCCTCAGAATAATAAACTTTATAAGGTAGACCCTTGATTATAGGTGGCGCTTCTGTATATTTGAGGCAAAATGACCCATCAAATGACCTTCCAGGATCACCTAAAAATTCAAATGCATAGTTTAGGAAGTAGTCTCTAAGGAAAAAGCAAAAAAATAAATATGAAATTAGGTTTGGCTGAAAAAAAAATTAATTAAGATTATCACCCTGCAACTTTAAAATCACTAGATGGCGCCACTATAACCTGCCATAAAAATTGATTTTACCCAAACCTGGAAAAATAACTTATGGATTCCTACACTTCAGGGTATCTACTAAAAGAAAATCAAAAGTTATTTCATTCTAAATCCGAGTAAGCTCAGAGAGGCTAGGGACAGGACTAGTATGTTATCGCAAATTGTACTGTTGTGCGAAGAGCGTGTAAAGAGATTTTAATAATTAGTCACAACGCGTGCAAAGACTTTTGTTACAGTCTTTACACGTCTATACACTGTGTGTACCAAGAGGTGTAAAGGCGTGTCAAGAGTTGAATTCGTCGCGTGCCAAGAGGTGTCAAAACTAGGAACGCCTATACACGCGGCGTGTCAAGAGCCGTATCTAGATGTGTCAAGTTTTGGAATTCCATTTTTCACGCAGTGTTCGTTCGTTCTAATCTGCCCGATCCTAAGTCCAAGGGCGAGAATAAGAGTAAACGCTCCATCAAATTATGAAAGTCTTTTATGACAATTAATATGAAATTAATTGGTTTTATATGTGTTTAATGGGAGTCATTTCTTTAAAAAAGGTAACCCTACATCAGGGGTATGATTAGATGTAAACAAACTTTGGTTTCCAGGAAGTAGAATATAGGTCAATGCACTGCAGATGTGCAGAACGCATTTCTCATCAATTTTTCTTACAAGCTAGCAGGTCAGTGTACAATCTGATTGAATCCCGCCAATCCCGCCCCCAAAACCACCTATGAATTATCCCCCAACTAAGGTGAGATCAAGAAAATGGTAAGATATATTGTTAGTGATACATTAAGGTAAGCAACTAAAGTAATCACTATTATATTGGTCAGATGCACTGTTTATGTTTTTGAGAGATAATATAGCTAATCAAAACAAAATTAAATAGGCAACAGAAATCGCTACTCGCTAAAAAACCCACATGGACAAAATTACAGATAAAAGGTTATGTTTTTATTATTACAATAAAAAGTCTGACAAGCATTATTTTTGCTTCTTTATTCATTAAATTCAAATATATGAAATATTTATTTTCGCTAAACCATTTTCCATTCGGTAAAAATGTTTATATGTTTCTTACAGCAAATTAAGTTTTCAAAATAGCCATTCACTTAATACTATGTTCATTAAATTACATATTTCATTCGCTAAATGATATGTTTTTGCGTAGATTGTTATGGTATTCCTTACCACATTATATGCAAAATATTGAATTTCTATTTGAACCCTACCGAAATAAGTTTGCCTATATTTACCAAATGGTTTATTTTTCTTTGACATAGTTAATGCATTTTACCGAAAGCTAATTTGCTATTTACCGAATGCAATAAAGTAATATTCGATAACTTTCCCTGTTGGTCGATATTTTGTCACGTGACCTCGAGATTTGCAAAATGGCCGCGCAGTTTACTTTGTAAACATTGTTTATAAATAAATGTTAGTAAGGCCAGCCATAGCTTCGGCTCCGCCCACACTGTCACTCTGTAATTGTCAATCACTGAACAGTCGTTCCGCAACGTTCCAAACAATTGAACATCCATTCTATCTTAAGATATCATTCATTCAGTTTTTCGAAGTAGCGAACGGCACAACGAGATTCAAACATTTTTCAAAGTTGACCACCACCTCCCCACCTCCAATCCTGGCATTCACACTCATTACTTCGTTCTAACCCCCAAGTAATTTCACACTCTCATTTTTCGGCAGTATTTTATGTCTAAATTACCCATAAATTGTATAGATTATTACATTTGATAAAACAAAAAACATTCGATAGATTGGGTAAAGGTTTGGTAAATTGTTTGTTTTATTTTGTAAAAGGACAAAGGTCTAATGGTTAAAGGCCGCAAAACACTCTAATAATGCATACACACCCCATGCAGACAGATCGCCTAAAATTACATTCGTATGGCATTCCTAGTACCCCCCTTAAAATTACACCAGGGGGGTATAAATCTGCATATTTCCAAAATGCTGAAAAACTAGACACCAGTGTTTTCAGAATCAATGTAGAATAATAAACCACAAATAACCTACATGAAGAGAAATTTGCCATTTTTCAAAACCACTTTTACACCACGCTCATCCATGGGCCAGTAGTTCTACACGTACAATTGAGAAGAGACTAGAGAGGTTAAGCTACACGTATTTAACAAAACTTGAACGTGAACTTCAATGCGCGCGCAGATAAATGACGTCAGATTTGTTTATTTCCTGTGGGCCAGCGTGAAGTTTACAGGTTTTTACATGAGATTACCATATTCGTGCAATTTACAGACGCGTATTCAACAAAGCATGAACGTGTACTTCAATGCGCGCGCAGGAAAATGACGTCAGATTAGTCTACTTTCTTCAGGTAAGCGTGAAAGTTATAGGTTTTTACGTGTAGATGAGTGATTACACGTCGCTCATTACAAGATTGATTTTAGCTATGTTCTAGGATGGCCCTGGAGCCCATATTTGACACAGACAATCTTGCTTGTTATATTGGTAAACCCCAATCCTTAATTGGAAATAAGAATACATTTTAATTGGTAAATGACAACTTGAAATGTGATCGCTTGTTCATTCCGTACAATATAAATTGGCAAGACCAATTTGATGCCCGGGGCTTAGTACAATATGTATTCTAAACGAAATGAAATGACAACCAGGGCAAGAAAGGATCTAGTGTGCTATGATCTCCCCATGAACAAAAATAAATTCATCTGATTCAAATGAATATACTGCTTTTATTATTTCATTTATATGTACACTAGTATTCAGCACTGTATTGATGAATGGGCCACTTATTAGGGCCAATATTCAATCATAAAGTGTACATGGGTTGAGATGCCAAACCATGAAGCCTTTTTGTGTCTGCCAAAATCCATTTGCATCCTACACATCCCTACATCTTATCCAAATATGTTATTTATTAATGAAACATAACAGTATAATCTTTGTATTTACAAAGTTGTATGTGATTTTGTAAGTGTAAAAGTTGCTTTTGAAGCATTTTTCTATAGCCATTTTGTAGGAAAAAATGATGAAAATGATGAAAAAATGTATTATCTTTTAATTTGAAGTTTTACCTGTCGTGAATAAATTGCAAACTTTATATTTGCACATCTGATGTGATATACCATTTGTGTCATATTGTGAAATTATTTAATTTGCAATCAATTCAGGTCATAGTGTATTTTTGGGAAAATCAATAGGAACCAATGGCCTCCATCGGAATCTGATGGTATCCACATGTTAAGTCAATAGAACACATCCAATGTCAAGTCAATATACCCTTGCAGAACTTAATGACCTCAACCTCAGCCAATGTGGGTCTAAACGCTTAAATATTTTTCAAAGTATTATGTGACAATGTATTCTTTATAATATACAGTTAAAAATGATTCATTTTGTTCATGGGGAAATCATAATGGAAAGTGCACTAGACCCTTCAATTGTGGTTGAATATGAAATAAATAAAAAATAAAAAGCAAAATGTTTTATTGCGACAAGATTCGAACCCAGGCCTAACGGACATACGTGAAGTGCTAGATTGCCGAAGTGCTATCCATTACACCATAGAGACATGACCTTTAGACACAGTCGCCACATAAATATAACTCCACGTCCACTGACATGGTTTCAGACGTGTAGCTTAACTGAAAATTTTCTTTAACGTGTACTTGAGCGTGGACTTACGCGTTCAGGTTCACGGTTTGCATTTATACGTGTAGCTTAACCTCTCTAATAACGACCACATAACAATGCATTTCATTTCGCTTTTAAATCAAAGCTGTCATAGTAAGTCTAGTTCGGGGCGCGTTTAAATTGCTCTCTTACGTCTAGCAATAGGGGGCAAGAGAAGATAAAATGTTTTCCTCGATAGCCACATTTGCACTGGAAGTAACAATATTGAATTCATGGTGTGGTACTCAAGCTTAACGGGGTCCAGAAAAGGTATAGTTACCTGGTTTAGCGATGTCGCTAATAGCATCAACTTCTCCTAGTTCAGCCCTTTTAAGAGCAGCGATTGCAGTCTCTTTACTTTCTATTTCATCATTGGCTGGATGGTACTTGTCAGCCCAGTATCGTGTCTGGAGATCCAGTTCTTTCTCGGCAGGGATTGGACTGGGGTCATTGGATAGGTAGAGACGAGCTGCAAATAGTGGATTACATTAGGTCTAGTAGGCATCGCTTATTTAGTCTTAAGACAGATATATATATAGATGCCCTGTTAAGTTAAGACAACCTTTTAAAGATTTCGTAAGTGAGCAGTTGAGTTGAGACCTTCTAATTATTATAATGAAGAAGACAACAGTATGTACTGTAGTTATATGATAAAGATATTCTGATGGTTTGAATTTTCCATATTTGGATAGCAATATTACATTGAACCTTGCATGGGGGGGGGGTCTATGCATCCCAGCTTATTAGACAGGACATGCCCAAAATACGAAGATTTTGAATAAAGACTTTCCTGTTATCTCAAAATCTGCTTGGAACTATTCAATTGGATGAGAAATCCCTCCAAGAGAATATTCTAGGGATTAAAGAATGTATACAGTTTACACAATTTGAGAAATTATTGGCATACATAAAAACTGAAATGTAAATGAATCTAGAAGCAAGAAAAGGAAGCAACACCCAATAAGTTTTATGTCATTTTGAAGGGCTATACCCATACTTTACTGTATTTGAAAGTGTTCAAAACAGATTTCCCGATGCTCTTGAGCATGGACATAGAAGAAGGAATTACAGAGCAAGATGACACGATCCTTGTTGAAAATGAACATGAGGATGACATATCATTTCAAAGCACTGAAATGAAGCGTAATGTAACAGATACAAATACAACAAACCAAGACAGAATTATCAAGAGACATACACGAAAAAAACTTGACGATATACCAGCTATGGCATTCTCCCCAATGCTAATCAGAAATAAAAGCAAAAATGATCATATCATTAAGGAGAAAGAAAGCGCTACCGACGGACAGAAAAATACAGGTGATAAAAATGAATGCATTAAGGAAATTCCCGAATTGATGAATGGCGCCAAGGAAAGTTACCATTGTGTGTCACCCAAAGGTAAATTAACCGACGTGGAAAGGGTAATTTCGAATCTGCAAACATCACTAGTTGAACTTTCGCTAGCGTTAAATGAGATCAAAGATGAAAACATAACACTGAAACAAAACAACGATATGTTTCAAGAGGAGCAAAGAGAGATGATGTCAAGCTTGAAACTAGAAACAGTGCAGTGAAACTAGAAACACAGCGTAGACACAATCAAATAGAAACACTAGAACATAAATTCAATAAATTCACTGATGAATGTAACAAACGTATAAGCGCAAATACCAGTGAAAGCCAAAAGACTACTGCGAGGATTTCTAAACTAGAAATACAAGTTCAACAAATGCAAATGTTAGAAGCCGCCAAGTCCGCTGATATCCGGACTAGAGTAGAAAACGATATCATCAAAGAAAATAAGACAGAAAGTTTTAAAGGTGAAAAAACCAAGGCAGAAATTAATGAGTTTAAAGCTAAAATGCCAAACCTTCAAGATGAACACATTGAATCTGGAGCAAATTACGATATGAAAGAAAATAAATCAGTACATGACAATGCTGAGTTCATGAAACTCAAAGCAGAGAATGAAGAACTAAAAGCTAAACTCGAAGACATGTTACAGGAGGTTACTATTCAGAGGTAAAATTGTAAGCAAAACACTGGCATACACTATCGAAGATGCTTGTGACACGATTTCGTCGTCCGATGTAACGAAGCAAAAATACATTATTGCAATAGGGACAAATAATCTCGCAAACGGAGACTCCCTAGAGACTATCAATAAGGGCTACATACGATTAATAGGAGCAATAAGAGAAAAAGATCCAAATGCGTCTATATATGTATGCAGCCTTCTACCCAGGTATGATGGGTTTGATGTTATCCCAGTGAATGAACATATCAAACAAATGTGTCTCAAGTCCGACATGACATTCATAGACACGCACAGTGCCTTCTCCTTGAAGTCCGAGGGCACATACATACAACAGGGCGGTTCCCATCCAAATAAAAGTGTCACGATTAAACTCGCAGCTTCAATTCGTTCTGCTGTCCTGGGATGGCCTACAAGAACCAATAGACGTCCCGACCCAAAACCAGAATCACAGTCCAAAGATGTGAAACAAGTGACACCAGTGAGTGATGAACCTATCCATGTGAACGATGCAAACAATCATCAATTACAAAACACACTACCGACTCCGACAGGACAGTCTACTAGCCATGTGTACCCACAAATGTATCCAAGTCCTTGGCAGGGACAAATCTCGCCGCATCATATTAATATGCAGCAACTACAAAATACACAATATCCACAATATCAGTGGCAACCAGTACCAGTTCAACATAATCACCCATCCCAATACTTTGCAGGGTGGAATGTATAACAAAATCTTGAATAATGCATTACATGCATTTTGTTAGTAAAACATGAACGCATGTATTACCAGATAAGACGGTGTGTTACAGCCACCGTATACAACTTCTTTACAGCATCTCAAATAAATGTTAATTTAGGTAACTCATATTAATCCACCGAATCATATCTATGTACAGCAATTACAAATCTCAAAGAACTTTGATCATTTTATAGTCTGTAGATATTATACCGAGATTTTTGATCATTTCGTATAGGCCTGTATTTATCATAAGATTATTCGTTACGATCTATGTATCAACATAGAAAACTATATGATTATGATGCAGTGTGTTGTCGTACATACATCTATGTTTTTTTTTAAATTAATCTTTTATAGGTAAGTTTTAGATAGGATTACTGGTAATATTATTCCTTGTACAATTATTAGCAAAGTTTAGGGTTCTGAAGAACTCGGCTTTAAATTTGTCTTTAAGTATTGGCCACACGATGTCAAGTCGAATGGCAGCTTTTCATAATCAAAGTAGGCGTTATATTAAATTAGCAGCATGGAATATTCAAGGCTTGACTCAAGCCAAGTTGTCAGATAGTACGTTTTTAAATGAAATCAAACAACATGATTTAATTTTCCTGGAAGAGACATGGCTCTCGTCAAATTTCGTTATTGAAGGTTTTTATAGTAAGAGTGTAATAAGGACCAAAAGTCCCGGGGCCAAACGGCATTCAGGAGGCTTGTCAGTACTTATCAGAAATGAGTTAAAACAGGGTATCAAAATAATTAAAATGTCAAATTCCTCGATATGGGTTAAATTTAACAAACAATTCTTCGCCGCCTCTAATGACATTTATATAATATGTGGAGTGTATTTACGACCAAATGAGACTCAATCAGATGAGAATGAAAGCGAAATAAGTATGTTAGAAAGAGATATTGCAAAGTATTCCAATTTGGGCGATGTAATGCTTTTGGGCGATTTTAATGGCCGAACATCTGACAAGCTAGATTATATTCTAGATGATTCAGATAAGTATATGAACGATCAAAATCCGGGTTATATACCAGACCTTGATATAGGTCCACGTATGAATATGGACAAAACAGTAAACGCGCTAGGAAAATGTTTGCTACAGTTATGCCATAGTTTTCAATTAAGAATACTTAATGGGCGTAAGATAGGTGACTTATGGGGACGATATACATTTTTTAACCATTTAGGTTGCAGTACCATTGATTATGGTATAGTCAGTGAACTTCTTTACCCATGTATCAATACTTTTGAGGTTAAACATCCAACTCATCTATCGGATCATTTATTAATTGCCTTACAAATGGAGATACCAAGTCAAATCAATTCAAATTTCGATCAGCTCAAACCTCATAATGGCAAATTCATTTGGAACGATATTTCTAAAAGTAAATTTCTCGAAGCGCTAAAATCACCAGACATTGTTAATAAGATAGACTTGTTCAATAATACAAACTACTGCAATAACCAAAAGGGTATTGACGAATGCTGTGATGCATTGTCATCAATTATTAAAGACGCTGCTAATTCGTCTTTAAAATTTAAATCACCTTCTAAGAATTATAAAAATAAAAACAAAAAATGGTTTAATAAAGATTGTGACAAAATTAAACGCCAGGTACTATATTTAGGCAAACTTTTACATAAATACCCAAATGATCCTTTTCTCAGAAACAAATATTTGGAACAAAAAAAACACTACAAATCGTTTTTAAATCAATGAAAACATATAAACAGAATATATTGAAGCAAATCGACTCTCTAGAAAAATCGGATCCAAAACGATTCTGGGAATTGGTTCAACAATTGCGATCTGATGAACATAACAATAATAAAACTAGTAACATTGATGCCGACTCATGGCTTAAATATTTTTCTGATCTGAATAAAAAACCTACATCCACATGTCGAGAATTTGAAAATGAAATCGAGTCAGAACTTAATACATTAAAAACGAAAAACATCCTTATAGAACAACTAGATAGAGAAATATGTGGAGATGAAATATCCAAAACTTTGAGAGACTTGAAAAGCAAAAAATCAGGGGCAAATGATACAATCTCAAATGAAATGCTCAAAAATAGTGGCAGTACTCTGATTAAACCCATGTCTAAGCTTTTCAATCTCATTCTAAAATCAACATATTATCCTCTTATATGGTCATCTGGCGATATAGTTCCTCTTTACAAGAAGGGTGATGAGAGCAATCCTCAAAACTATAGAGGGATTACTTTAACAAGCCTATTAGGTAAAGTTTTTACTTCAATTCTAAATTCAAGATTAGCACAATGGCTATCGGAGAATAAGATTTAATGCAAAAGTCAAATAGGATTTTGTAAAGAGCGGCGAACAACTGATCACATATTTGTTCTTAATTGTATTATTAAGTCCATGAGAGCAATAAAAAACCGTTATTTGCATGTTTTATTGATCTTAAACGTACATTTGACACAGTATGGCGACAAGGATTATTCTATAAACTTCATAAAATAGGCTTAAGTAGTCGCTTTATTAGTGTTATCGAACATATGTATGTGAATACTGAATGCAGAGTCAAGCTAAAAGGTGGTTTTACAGAACACTTCCCAGTAATGTAGGGACTAGACAAGGCTGTAACTTGAGTCCGATGTTATTTAATATATATCTCAATGATGTTCCATCTCTGTTTAACGATGTAAATTTTGATCCTTATATTCTAGACGGAAACAAAATCAACACATTGATGTATGCCGATGATGTAGTATTGTTTAGTAAGTCAGCGAAAGGATTACAGCTGATGCTGAACAAATTTGAAAAATATTGTAATACATGGAAATTAAATGTTAACATTAACAAAACCAAAGTGGTGATATTTAATGAAACTAAAAAGAAAAATATCTTTAAATTTGGTAATAGCATAGTTACACAGTGTGCAAACTATTGTTATTTGGGTGTAACATTTCATCAAAACGGTAACTTTAAATCTGCATACAATTAATGTTTTGTACTCAAAAGCACTAAAGGCTCAATATGCGGTCAAAAATGCTTTTTATAATAGTAATGTGAAATCTCAGATAAAATTATTTGACACTTAAGTTAAACCGATTGCACTCTATGCGTCTGATGTTTTGGCTACAGATATTGTAAAGTTAAAAGACAAATCCTTGAAGGACGTGCTTTTAAATAATTTATATCCGTTTGAGAAGTTACACAATAGATATTGCAAACAGGTATTACGCGTCAATAATAACTGCAGTAACGTATCAGCTAAGGCTGAATTGGGCAGATACCCGCTGCTCATTAATATATTAGTTAGTACTCTAAAATTTTGGTTTCACTTGAAAAAGTCACCAACTGATTCATATTCATTTATTTTTAGTGAACATGAGGAAGACTCACATGAATCAGGGCATTGGAGCTTCTTTTCATTTATCACTCGGATTTTGTCAATATCCAATAAAAATATTGATATACAAAAATTCGATACATGTGATCAAGTCAAAATTGATAATTTAATTAAATCTACAATGACAAATTTAAAAAAAGAATACAAAAGCGCGTTTATGCAAGACATCAATAGACCAAATGATGCTCCAGGTAAATTCAGAAGCTATAAACTAGTAAAACATGCATATAAAAGAGAAAGTTATCTTAATTTACAGAGCTCCACCTATAGACAATCTATCTCTAAGGTACGGTTATCGATGCATAACTTCCCAATTGAACGAGGTCGATACTTCAAAGTAGAAAAATCGAAACGATTTTGTTTCTTTTGTAATTCAAAAAATACAATAGGTGATGAAGAACACGTTCTTTTCTGTTGTTCTCAATCAGAATTAAAACTAGCTCGATCTCAATATCTCAGTAAAATAAAAAGTATAAACAATAGTTTTTCTCATTTTAATACAAGTAGTTTATTTTTATACTCCCTGTTAGCGCACGATGATGCAATTAATGAAATAATTGGTGATTATTTTACGAGAGTTCACAATATTACCAAAGAGTTATTAAACAAAACCGATGTGAAATCATTTTATGCTGTTTAGTAAAGTACTTAGTGATTGTTAAAATTAGATTGTAAGAATTGTTTTGCCATGCATGTACATAAATGTTTTATTTGTTATTTGCTTTATTGGACTTATCTCGATGTACATTACATGTTCAAGAGACCAATAAACTTATTAATAATAATTATTACAGTTGATTGATGTTTTTCAGATGAAAAAGCGAGACGAGATTGGGTTATTGGCCTGACAAGAAATCATCGAAAAATATACCAAAATACCATCATTTGAGAGACACCAATCGACATAACTTAACTTAACTTAACCTAAAGTCCAAGTTAACTCACCCGCGAGGCCAGAAATGAACGGCGAATCCAGGTCTCTGTATGCTAAATTGTTCCACTTCAATCCCCAGTTGGCTTGGATCAAATCTTCCTTCTCTTGCAAGCGTTTATGGAATGTGTCGCCGTTATTCTGAATGTCTTCAAACGCCTTCTTAGAGACCTAATGATTTAAAGTATGAATGAAGCCCGGGGAATGAAGTATATAGAGGTTATTTAATGGGAGGGATGGAATTTTTCTTGCTGTTTCAGACCTGGTCATTAACGGTGGTAATAATACTAATAACGTCATTTAGATGCGGGCCGAAGGCCCAAAGTCCAATATTTCACTTTATCGTATGATCTGTAAAATGAAGCCCTCTTGTGCTGTACCAATCTGTATTGCTACTGAGATTGTCCCCATTGATCATCTCCGTCGCAATACAGAAAATATTGGTACGGAGAGGACAATCTCAGTAGCAATACAGAGGATCACACGATAAAAACGTTATTGAATGATTTGAAGTGCAATACAGGATATATTCTGTCTCGATATTCTGTATTCGCATTCGACTTCGTCTCGTTCCAATACAAAATTTCTCGAACAGATATATCCTGTATTGCACTTCAAATCATTCAATAACTTATAATATTGCCCTTCGAAATGACGTTATTGTACTATTCTTTTAACAGCTTTAATAAATCAGCGATTACAGATCATACTCTTCAAGGAAACCACGAAATTGATTGGAACAATTATAAAATAGTTAGCACAGAAAGGAACAGAAACAATAGGTTGATAATAGAAGCCATTCACATTAGAAAACATAAAAACTTCAATAGAGACATGGGCAACTTCAATCTAGATCGCTTGTGGGATGAAGTTATATTGCCATCTATTTTGGGGGATTTTGTTTTAAAAACATGTTGTATATGCTGTTCCAACAATGTTCGGAAAGACAAAAAATGTTTATAAAAAAACAGTTATATAAAATATTTCTAAATAATTTTCGCATTGAATTGTTGTCAATCAGTCAACATTACATAAAATACCGTGTTTTTTACAGAATGTTTTCAATGATGGGTTTAAGAGAAAAACATTGTTGAATTCAGTTCTCCATATCGATACCACTCCTTTAGTGATCATGGATGCATTCGAAACGTCTAAAACAAAATGTTGTAATAAAGTATCTCCATTCAGTAAATACAATACAAGGCGACATTATGAAAAGATAATGCAAAGCTCCATTGTCTGCGAGCTATACGCTGAAGCTCAAATGCAAAATATTTCAACACAACCATTTAGATTTATCCCGTGCCAGGACTATAGTCCTGCATTGGGAGCATTCTTTTGCCTGTACGATTACAACTTGGGAGAATTATCTACGCCCCTTACACTTAAGATACCTACTTCAATTGATTCCTGGGTATTTTAGCATTCTTTTCGTGTAGTTAAATCCACAATTGTCTGGGTATATCGGCAGAACGGGAACATTGTTCTTTTTCATCGAGAGATATTCCATCACTTTCCAAGATGGCGGTTGGATTAATTAAAAGGGGATTCCCCGTTTGACTGACCCGGAAGTGGCCCGGAAGCAGCAAAAATGGAGGAATTTGACGGTTGAAATAAGTTAAATATTACAAGCAAATATTGTGATTAAAAACGAAAATTTCTTTGTTCTGCCGATAAACCCAGACAATTGTAGATTCAACTACAAGAAAAGAATGCTAAAATACCAAGGAATCTATTGAAATAGGTATCTTAAGTGTAAGAAGCGTAGAAAATTCTCCCATGTAATCGTACGGGCAAAAGAATGCTCTCACTGCCGCAGGACTATAGTCCTGGTACGGGATAAATTTAGATAACTGAGATGCTTTCTCAAGCCAACTACACTCTGGACGTACCTTCCATATTCCTCCTGATCCTTCATTTGCGCTTTCTCCATTCCTAGTCTCCAAGAATGCGATCCTCTTCATAAACCTTTGATCGTTAGGAAAGATTTTGGCGCGCCCAATTTCTTCGACAACGTCGTTAACGACATCTGCTCCCCTTGCTGTCACATCAAGCAGTCGCTTATCAAGTGGGAACGCTTTCAAAAGGGCGAAATAATAACTTGTTTATAACTACTGAATTGCTTGTTCGGCATTGTTCATGAATGAATGTACCCTTTGCATTCGTTTGACTTCGCTTCTCAAAAGAGAGCTTCGTTTTCAGTTTATAGCAAGACTCTGCGCGCAGGGTAGAATGAATGAACTCCATGGGGCTTTCATGCAAGAGTAACTCAGTTCACACCGGAGTAACTTGACAACGGTAAAGTCAGATACCGTTGTCACAAATGGCGGACATAACCGTACGCGTCGCTTCAACTCTTTAAAATAATATACTGGGAATTTGTTAAGAACCTAGAAAAGAATTCAAAAATACATAGAAGGATGGAATAAAGATTTAAATTTGTCACTCAATCAAAATGATTGGAAGAAGATAAATAAACTTAACAAACTGAGTAACTATGAATCTAAGTTATCATCCTTCACTTACAAAGTCCTTCACAGATATTTAGCAACTAATACATACCTAAAAAGGTGTGGACTCGTAGAGTCAAACATTTGCACTTTTTGTAAAGCAAATCCTGAAACGATTTGCCATCTTCTGTATGAATATAAGCCTACTATTGTAAGTGCCTTATTAAATCTCACATTGCTATGTACTAAACAAAATGTATTGATAGGACCTGAGAGTATAAATGAAAAGACAATCATCCCAAATAATATGCTATGTATTTTTAAAAGGTATGTTTATTTGTGCAAATATTCTATGCTAAAACCAACACTTAAAGGTTTTATAAGTAATGTGAAGGAACATTTTATTATGGACAAACGGGTTGGCAGAGGCGATAAGTGGAAAATCATGGAAGCAAAATTAAACAAATGATACTGATGATTTTTTCCTTGAAGTAAAAAAATGCCATTGGTATAATGTCTCTTAAAGACTAACGTTTAACCAATATTGTATTGTAAAATTGTAAAATGTATGTTTACCATGTAACTGTTGTAATTGTTTCTTGCAATTACTTTAACATGCTTATTCTTTGAAATAATTTTTTTTAAACAAAAAAACTCTTTAATAATTTGGTCCTCATTTCTTGGGATTTTATCGTCGCTAATTCTGTGCATGTATTAAGCTCTTGTGATGATGTATCATACGAAATCCCAATTTCAATCAAATTGGGTCGTGAATCGCCACAATATACAGGGTGTGCCAAAAAAAATTGTAACTTATCTAGAAGGGTAGAAAAGTATCATAACATTATGGTATTGACATAAAAAAAACGTACAGAAACTTAAGGATAGGCATATTTTACCATTCAAATATTTAAGCTTATACTGACTTCAATTTTTTTTGTCAGAAAAGTTTTGAAGAATATAGCACATTTATTATGTCCACCAAATCTGCTACAATCTTTGTTAAGTGGTGTATTGAGCGACTATCTATCAGAACTAATGAATCAAGGGTTATTCTCCTCCAGATATTCCAAAGTGACTTTTGCCCTATGACCAGGAGCGCTATCCTGCTGGAATAAGTAATCACCTGGGGCTGAAAGACCCCTCATTCTTGACAGATGTCAGTTTTGAAGAATATAAGTCCTGATGAATGGCCATCTAATACACCAGATGCCAACCCCTGTGACTATCACACATGGGGGCACCTGGAGCAGTGTATTGTAGTATTAATGGTTATACCCCACAAACTAAAAGAAGCTAAAAGAAGCTAAAAGAAGTTCTGCAGGATAAGTGGAGATAACTTCAACAAGAATTGCTGGATCGCACCATTGACCAGTTCGATCCTCGTCTCCGTGGGATTGTGAAGGTAAAAGGCGGATGCATAGAACATTTGTTTAATAAATAATTAATACACTATAACAATAATACCATAGTGACTAGATACTAATAATAACCTGTACTAAACATTGGTTAGACAATTACCAAAGATTGTAGCAGATTTAGTAAACATTATAAATGGGTTTTGTTGATCACATAAAATCATAGAAAGTCACATTTTCTAGGGAAAACGGTAATTATCGGACACATGAACAATTTAGCATTAATATTCAAAATCTGACAAAAAAATTGAAGTCAGTATTAGGTTAAGAATTTGAATGGCAAAATATGCCTAATTCTTAAGTTTCTTGCCTTCTAAAAAAGTTGCAATTTCTTTTGGCACACCCTGTTGTTGTCCCGTATCTCATTTTGATCGGTTAAATTAAAGACTTTATTTCGATGGTAGAACATTATTAACTGTACAATGAGTATAAAGACACTTTGATTGATTGCTGTTCCAAAGGAATTGAGTCTAGGTGCTCTATTAAACATACAGTCCGCCATTTGTGACAACGGTATCTGACTTTACCGTTGTTAGGCTATTCTGGTGTGCAGTTGCCTAAACACATGAGAAATTCTGTTGGAGGCGCAACATAAATCATTATCGGGGTCCTTTCGGACTCCTTCCACGTACCCTTTTCTTAAAGAATCGTTTTCTGAGGGTTAGCTCGCTTTCGTTTATTATGATATTTATTTCTGCATGCGATATGTTCGATTATATTTTGTTGTAAAATAATAAACGAATGGGATAATGGGGAAAACACCAGCTGAGCTGACTTACCTGGTCCATCTCTCTCTTCCAATTCCACTGCCAACTGGGTGGCTAGACGCTTTAATTCCCCTTCACCTGTAATCAGAATAAGTACAATACAAACATTTCCCGGATAACTCCAGAATTACATCGACAAATATGAAACACTTTGTAGTAGTTCTGCTGTAGTGAGGAAACTACGTTTCTTGACATCCTGTACATGGGTGATAATTTTGGCCGACTTTGCACTTTATATGTCTATCTCTATAGCTTTCTTAGTCCTTATCGGTCATAGAAGGGTTTTCTTGAATATTTTGGTCTGGCAAAGTAAAGATACCCATTTATAATTAGGAATAGCATATACTTTCTTGTTGAAGCTGTACCAGTATAGAGGTCGATCGATTGCTTCCCAAGGTGTGAAGGAATATTAAAGTCCCCGATAAATCGGGCTACGTATACCGCCGTGTTTACATTACGGGGATTAGAAGAGTTTATTTTTTATTTAGGTATGCAAGCTACGTATATCAATATTAGGCCTTCATTCATGTACTCGTGTGCATGTAATCAGCATGCCCTTCAATATTATGTAAACCAGGCTATTCAAGTACTGTATAATGTACACTGGAGAGGTTAAGCTAACGATGTTTTTCACAACGTAACCGTGAACGCAAAGTACAAAAATTAACAAAGGAATGTATCGAGCGCTCATAGTTTTATGCGCGCTTAGTCTACTTCAGATACTCTTTCAGCTTCAGAGTTTCGGGTTTAGAACGGGAGATTTGAATATTTGACGTTGGGTCAACGGGAACCATTTTACTCGTGTCTATTGAACACTATGCTGTCAATTTTGATTTCGATGCACAGTTGAATTCTTGCTGAACACGATGATGTATGTCATGCATGATTTAGCGCCAAAAATCTTACGAAACGAGCTCGTTTAAAATATGTATTAGAAAACCAGCTATAAAACTGCATCAATGACATACTATAGAATCATTACACGCTATGGTGTAGTCTAAACAAACACTGGATTTGAACGGCTATTTATATGAGAAGGCTACATGAATTTGTATATGGTCGAGTGATACGTACAGGTTCAGTTTCGATTATATATGCAAAGCTTAACCTCTCCACTATTTATGTGTGTACTACATACAATACAATTCCCTGGGAAACAAAACACAAATACTTTTTATATGTTCAAAATGAGCCATTTGATTGATGCAAACACTAAATAGCTTCATAAATAACATCTACAAAGTATATCTAATAGTAATTTTCAATTCCAATGGTGAAACTTCCCTGGTTACGATTATATGGGAAATCATCACTGGACGAAGATCGTTCGCCTTCCTGGCTTACCTCTGAATCGTGTACCCGGTAATCTCTTTATATAGTTTAGCGAGAGCGGTGCGCCTGCGCAGTTTTAAACTTTGGCGCACACTTGTTTTACATGAAAAACAGGTCAGTCCTATAACTAGGACAACAGCAACGCCAAGGCATAGATAGTAAATTCCATCGAACCATTTTTGAAAATGGCCCCCTATAAGCCAAATTGTTATTAGACAGTGATGGATCCAGACTTTTTGTTAAGGGGTGGGGGCGTTCAATAAGGGGACTAAAATACCAGTTACAATGTGTATTTCCAATCCCGATTCCAGATGCAGCTAGGTCTGGCTGGAAAACGTGTACGTATATCCCCTGAGTAAAATAGATGACGCTTGCGCTTGTCACTCGTCTATAGTACACGCCTAACCATCGCGTAAACAGGCGTCGCCGTACAGCGTCAAAAATACAGAACAGTTTTCTGTTCGGTGACGAAAATCAACTGATTTGAAGCAAAAGCTATGATGAGGTTTTTAAAAAAATGATGCAATTTTGGGTGTAATAAAAACAGCATTATCTTAATAAAAGGGAAATACTAGTAATAACCAAACGAAAAGTGAAAAAACAACATTTTCACTTAGGTCGATTATGTGGGCCGATTTACTCAGAAAAAATCTGAGCAGTGCTCGTAAAACGTTTATCATAATTGGAAAATTAAACCATTTCTAAGAGAATGCTGTTTTTATTTCACATGAAATCGTTTTTGCTCTCGTCAAATGAATTTTTTAAAACTCTCATCATAGATTTTGCTTTTTGATATTTCAACGCTGTACGGTGACGATGGTAACACCCCAGTCACATTTGTCGCACGGCGGCCGCAAGTCGACCGCAGATCAATTAAATAGGTGAATTTCTGCGGCGAGCGTAGAAAAACTACGCTCGCCTTGAGGCCTCCGTACGGCGTATGCAGATCTTTACAGGCCGCAGGGAAGGCGTAGAAATTATAACTCGGAGTAATAATACTTGTTCATTTCTGAGGTCCCCGTAGAAATAAACTGGCTCAACAAGATTGAATCATTATTTGTCAATGTTTCACGATCACTTTTCAATTGATATTACATTCTCGCACTATGGATAACATTTATAAATTGTCCCGATGTAAATAAAATGAAAAAAGTATTATTTATCAACAGATATTTAAAATTCACCGTGCGGCTGCCGTGGGAAATGTGACTGCAAAAGTATGAGAACGCAGAAATTCCACGGCGAGCGTAGAAATGTTACTGGCCGCAGAAATGATAGACCGCAAGGTCGCCGTAGGAAATGTGACTGGGGTGTTAAGTTAAGGCAGAAATTCACCGATTTAATTGTTCTGCGGTCGACTTGCGGCCGCCGTGCGACAAATGTGACTGGGGTGTTAGGCGTGTAGTAGTGTGTGTTCTGTTATGTCATGTTTTAAGTGAAGTCTCGTCTCAGTTGTTAGAAGACCAATTCATTCTGGCAAACGACGCTACATGTACGTTTTACAATTATAGCTGTACTTAAAAATGAAACGTTACGTAATGTTTGAATTTTCAGTTCTTTAAACAACTAGTTTCAATCTAGTAAAAATCCCGGGGTTTACTCTGAATAATTTGGGTAGGTACACCGTATGTGCGATCATGATGAGGAAAAGAACTCAACATTACGTGATCTTCATTATGAAAATAACAAAAACACATTTAAATTGTCGGTCTTTATAATCATGTCGTCATCTTTTCAAAGAATAATACGTAATGCTTTATTTCTCAAGCTGGTAAAAACTACATTTAATACGACAAAAACAGCTTTCCGATGATGTGCTTAAATGGTTAGTCACTTTTGATCCCGACAAGAGAACGCACGTTACATTATATCGTGTTCAGTTATCAGTATTACAATAACAAATCATTCTAATTAGAAAATATGCAATTTTCATCAAATAAAGGCCTACGTTGAATTTCAGTTAAAAATTAGGATCGATTCCCGAAGAAACGATAAGTTGGCAGGTTAGGAACCTAAGGCAGGACAATTAAATCGAGGGGAGACGGCCATGCCCAATTTGAAAATGCTTCCCTTTTGTTTGAACCATTTTAACTTAAAACAAAAGAAAATTGGTAAAAAACGTTGCCTACAATTGACATGTATTAAAAATCGAATTATATAAATAGTTTAAGGCTACAAATATGGCCGGTTTTTTACACATGATATGGTCGGTCTTTTAGACATTTTCCATCAAATCCTGATCGTAATTGAATTGAAAACGAATCGATTGTAGTTGTAGGTCTAATTCCCGGTGTGAAGGTTTTTACTGTCTCCTGGTTTTAAAGTCCGATAGACTCTAACTCCTGGCCGTTTGAGAGTCCCAGACTTTAAAATTTGGAATTGGTATTCCTATGGACTTGTAAAACTCAGAAACGAAACCTCGATTTTTTCGTAGTAAATCTACCCACAAAATTTTTCGGTTGGATTTTTTTTCACATTTCGCCTAATAGTGTCGATTATTTTTACGAAAATATGTTTCTCTAAACTCCACAATTTAGGTCGGTTGAAGATTACACCCCAGTCACATTTCCTATATGGCGACCGTGCGGTCTATCATTCCTGCGGTCAGTAATATTTCTACCCTCGCCGTAGAATTTCTATGGTCGGATACTTTTGCAGTCACATTTCCTACGGCAGCCGCACGTGACCTAACATCAAACACATATACCTATATTGCTTTGTGTTCACAGCAAATATACGACAGCAAGCATGGCCTGAAAAACTGTTTCTAAATGTACATAACTCATCAAAACTCTACGGCAGACGCAAGTCAACGTAACCTCGACGTGCGTCCACCGTGGGACCGTTCTGTGGTCTGGCAACGGCCTGTTGATTTCTACGGGGACGGCAGAAATGAAATATTATAACTCCAAGTTATAATTTGTACGGTTATCCTAAAAAACTGGATAAGCCGTACGGAGACCGCAAAGCGAGTGTAGTTTTCCTACGGTCGATGTACGGACGCCGTACGACAAATGTGACTGGGGTGTTGACAAGTATTTACGTCACATCTACAATTTTAAAAAGCATAAGTGTACGTGTACTCGATGTACGTTGTCCTACGATAAGAGGATTACTTCAACGTGATTGCACTATTGAACCTCTGCAGTTTACAGATACATGTGTAGCATAAACGGGATTTTAAAGTCATTTTCGACAAGTCTTAGCTATATTGATCTCTCTATCAACTTCTTTAGATTATTAAAATTCATAAAAGTATATCTTAACAGAACGTAAACGTAAAAACGCCAAATGATCAAGAGGTGGAATCTAACACCAATTGCTCACATATTAACCACTGCACCAACAATTACATAAAATAAAATAGCATATTGGGGATACTTGAACATGTTCGTTGAACATCACTTGTTACCCATTAAAAATCTGAATGGATTTGAAATAAAATCATGCATTGCATTGTTTGATAGCACATCTCATGAATTTCAATTACACCGGCCCTCACAGTGGAGTTGACAACAAATGGTTTCAAGAGAAGTTAGTTTGAAACTCCGGAATGCTTTTTGTGACTCAAAATCACAAAAAAAGTCGGGGTAACTTTATTGACCTTTCTAAGCCTTTTTTCTTAATTACGTTTCTTGCTTAGGCCTACCACCTTCGTTTGTGACATTCACAAACGAAATTGCTTGTGAAAATTATTTACAAAAGTGTTCTAGAGACTCTAATCTACTTGGCTAAGGTTTTATTTGAAGATACACTGCCTTATTAAGCAGGTAGAGGGGGATACAGAACACGGAAGCAAATGCTATGTTGGAAATTTTCTATATTTCAGTTTGAACATGTTCACGGTGTCCGATACTACCCAACGTAAATCGTTCCGGACTTGTTTTTCATAGTTTAGTTAGTTTTAGTTAGTTAAGTTAGTTTATTTATTTATAGTGGTCAGTTTTACAATTCAATTATAAAATATAAAAACTTAATTACAATTTTACCCAGCCCACCTTGGGTTTATTAACCACTGTTAACAATAGAAAATACAAAATAAATACACGAAAATCAATATCACAGGTTGTAAATGAATTCCCTTCTCCGCACAAAAGCCATCTTAATAAATTTAACAATTTTACAGGTATGTTCCCTAAAAAGAAATTCAATTTTGCTACCTTCATTATCCAAATCTTTAAAATCTACCTCATCAAAATATGTTTTTCTCAGATCATCATATATATTGCAATGGAATAAAAAATGTATTTCTGTTTCAACTGAGTTACCGTTACATAATGTACATAATCTTTCTTCCACATTCGCCCTTAAATCTGCCTTAAATCTGCCTTATCTTCATAACCATTTGGACTTGATTTATGGAAAAAAGTAACAGTAGGTTTGTAAGTTTGGTTATGAAATTGCTTTCACTTGACTTTATGTAAATATAATACAATTAGATAACTTACCATACCCTATCTTCAGGCACCCGCAAACGCCTTTTTTGTACGAACCGTTTGCTATAGTCTTGTTATTTCGGGATGCGAGCGATTCTGCCAGTGTTTTCACCTATTTTGCCTTATAATCACCAGCCTGCCTTGTATCCAATGAATACACCGATTCATAATGAAAGTAGCCATATTCTGAACGAAAATCATGATTTAAAATGGTTTAAATGAGTAGCAATTGTCGAAAGAATATTTTTTAGATTTAACCATTTGGACGTGACCTAAATATTCCAGTTAATGATGTTGACTTGTTATTGGAACGTTTCTGACTTGTGTTATTGGAACGTTTCTGACTTGTAGAACACAATGAACCAATTTTAAGTGTGGAACAGCTCCATAAACTTTATAGATTTCCAACAAATCATCAGAGTGGATGAGGACAGTGATAGAAGTTGTCTGAGTGATACTATCTAAATGATCATCATTAATTAAACGTATTAAGAGATACTTGTCAAAGTTGAATAAGGGAATCATTACAGATACATGTTCTTTTCTTGATACTTTCAAGGGGCAAGACTGCATGTAGAGAGAAAAGTTGATTTTTTACTTTTTCTTGTGTTTTGCCTCTTCGCTTTTTAAAGACTTCACTCGTCGCTATTTTTAATTTGCCTATGAAAAATGTGAGCATAAGTTTGCCTCAAATAAGACTTTAAAACGCCCTAATTGCTTTTAAACTGACTTCCATGCTTATATTAATGCTAAGCAAGAAGTTTAGTGAAAGTTGAGAAGAAATAATAAGTTTTAATCGTTATTTACCGTTAAAAATCGACTGGTTTGCCCCTAGATTATTAACAATTTGATTCATTATTATTTGTTATAATTTCATAATTTACCTCACAGCATGCAGGTTTTTGCCTCGGATTCTTCTTCAGACTTTCCCCTTAACTTCCAATGCACGTACAAAAAAGCTCAGCGTCACCTCTTTTAAATGGCCTAAACTAGTGTTTTGACTCTACGAGAGAGGTGTCGCCTAAGACAGGATTTGCTGTAAACTTACAATAATAATTTTAGTCCCAAATGTATTTTGAATCTCTCATATTGCTGATAACATTGGCTTCTTTCCAGTCATGTCTCATTTGAATACTGAACTTCTGACAAATATCGCTTTGAGGGCAAGGTACAAAAAGGTTTAATGTCAAGACACTCCATTTTGAGATATGTTGTCTTTGCTTTGTGAATTGGTGTATTGTGGAGGGGGAATATTGACTATCCTTACAAACCTGGGGAACGTTTATTCAAAACACTTGTATAATATTTCTTTGATCATTATACTGATGACATTACATAGTTCTAACATGTATCAATGACACCTTATGTTCTAACATGTATCAATGACACCACTATACATAAGAGAACATAATAGCAACAATAATACAATATTGAAGAAAACAAAACATTGATAAAAACACAATGATAAAAATTCTCTCAAATGATTATATTCAAATCAGATTATAGCGATGTTCTGGAACTGCTCCACATACCTCTCACCTCCGTAACAATGACAACCATAACTTTAACCGGTTTAGACTATATGCGATGAGAGTTGGTAGACACATTGTAATGTTCCTCTACAATCTGTAGCAATTTCATTGTGTTTTGTAACGCCATATGCCTTTATCACAAAAAGGGACGTCAAGAATGAATAAATCGGAGGGATGGTCCCTCTTGAAGTGTTCAAAGAATATATTTTTATCTGCACTTTTAAAAAGTACATTCGTGGCACTTGTTTCTGGGAACTAAAATTACAAAATATGTGATTATTTAATACAAAAACTCCTCTAAAACATAATCATACTAAGTGCAATTTTTCCAGAAGCATAGACAATTCATCCAGCAACGGAACGTATAAATACCATTAAAAGACAATTCCTAATCGTTATTTTTATCACGTTGTGTACAATTCGCAGTCGTTCACCTAGTGATTATAAGACAAGTCCGTGTCAGAATAAGGACCATTCGCCGTCGTTAACTCCACTTTTTACATTACGGTCATTTATGGAAATTTGAAGGTACAGATGATTTTTTTGTTTAAACATAGTTAAATGACACTAATGCAGATTTAGAGCAGATTTCTGGCATTTTTGTTATTTAATGCCGATAAATATGAACTATGAAGGCACGATCGTCAAAATAGATATGTGGGTATGAAAAAGAATGTTTTAGGGAGAAGCTAGTGTATGTATTTTTCTAAACGATTGAATTATATTACTTTTTTGAGCCATTCTGATGAATGTCTCATCTCATTCTCCTACGAAATGAGTCCAAATGGTTATGAAAAACAAGTCCGGGACGTTTTACATTGGGTAGTATCGGACACCGTGATGTTATTACATGTCACGCAGTCCAGTGTTTTATATGGGGATTATATGTACTTTACTTGTTTACATGAACATAAATTATTACATGATATCTGCAGTCTTCCGGGTTTTATCTGGGTTTGTATTGTCTTATTAGGGCTTTCCGACTTTTAAACAAACCTTACCTTTATGGATTTGTGTCTGAAAGAATATCACATATTTTTGTCTTCCCGACTTCAGTCATGAATAACATCAATTTCGCGTGCAAACTTTTGGACGTTGTCATTACCGGATGCCCAAACGTGTCAGAAACACATAGATACTCGAATGATGTTGATTGGACATCAGGGTGCAGAGAGCTCGTAATTTTACTGAATGGCTTCACGAAAAAATAAATAGCATTTTAAGCCACCTTTTGGGTTGGCTACAGAAAAATATGGTAGGCTTGAAATGAAATAACATCCAGTTATCCATATATATCATATCCTTATCTCATACATAGGTCGTGTAGATAAGCATCAAGATGATGTTATTACGTGAAATAAAGTCAAGGGTTCAACTTGACGATCCATTATTCCCATTGAAATAAACGCCCATCCGCTTTGAAAACCAATTTATTTTATTTTCACTCATATGTTTAACTAAATGACACTTTGAATAGTGAAATGAACACGACGTCATACCTTTGGCAGAGAATCCGATGGCGATGATTCCAAGTATCCACGCAATCTGCTGCATCACGAAGCAACGTAAAACAGCATCTAATTATGAAAGAGACAAACTGAGTTGATATATGAATGTATGCTCGGAATACTTTGCCATTCAAAACACCTGAAAGGATTGAGAGCAGGTCTATTGATATTAACAAAATAAAAAACAGCCAATGTATTTGTAGGTTTATGCTTAGTTCACATGAATTGTACATAAAACTTGGTTTTTATTCATTCAAAACAAAAAATGAAAGTTTATGTAGTATGTATTTGGTACAGGGTGACACAAAAACAGAACCCAGCGGTTTTCTTCAAAGGCTGTACACGTGGCATCTGAGTGAGGCAAATTAGAAGGTGGTGCCAAATTAAATCGTATTGTCCCCAGGAAAAAAATCCTAGGATCACAACATCAAACATCTAAGGATTTTTTCTTTAAAATAGACCCACATCTAGGTTTTTCTTTCAAAAATATACCCACTTTTGAGCAAGAAGGATTGGCTCCCAGAGTGCAACATCGATATTATGTCCGATATATCGGCATGTCGTGATACAACTTTTGAATTCAAACAGCCGCCTTTTGTGCACTTGAACATTTGAATCGTGAATGTTGGTCTTATTATTTCCTAACGAAAAATTCCAAAACTCACAAGAAATGATCGAGATATTGGTTCGAATCGTTTGGACTGTGTATTTTGAATTTATAGTCGGTTATAATTTCAGAAAATAACGAAATTATATTTCGACGTTTTCATCGTTGGAAAATATCGAGTTTCGATCCTGGGAGCCAACCCCCCTGGCACTTTGAGGTAGTTTGTAAAAAACAGACCCACTTCCGGCGATTTTTTTTCAAAAGCAATACCCAGTTTTAGGATTTTCAAAAAGTAGACCCAATACTAAGGAGTTTTTCATCAAAATGGGACCCATAACAAGGTTTCTTCTTTAGCGGCACGTCCCCATATAGTCATTTATCCTATGCCAAGTAGAGTTTTAGGGAGATAAGTTGGTAAGATATATCCCGTATCATGATTTTGAGGTTTCCATATCCTGAACCTCAGCTCCATATCTCCCGCCATATCTCCCGCTCCGGGGCATATCTTCCCGCTTCGAAAAAATAAGAAAAATAAGAAAAAATTGAAAAAAAATAAAAAATGTGAAGAAATTGAAACAATAAAAAGAAATTGAAAGAAAATTACTTGGTATAGGATAAAGCAGTTATGTACGGTCGGTTTGGATATTGGGTTCATCCCTCGTGAGATATGCACATCTACCTTCGGTCCCTACGGTCCCTCAGGTAGATATGCATATCTCCCTCTGGATAAACCCCATATCCAAAACCTCCCAGTACATAACCCTTATATACGTACGGTTGCCGTTGCAAATATGACATTATTCATCATCATCATTACTCAACAAGCGGTTACATACTATTAGTAGTGCAAACTAGGGTGATATAAATGACCAACTCTGCACTAAGGTTCCAATACACCAATGGAAAGCTAAGAGTATCCGCTTTAAGAATCTGACCTCCATTCGAATTTTTAGGAATGCAAAATTAGATATTAAATCTTTCATCACCAAGGGTCATTTATTAATTTTATAAAAATCAGATTCAAAATGGCAAATACCCCAGATAGGCTGAGATAGGGGTCATTGAGTGCAGTGACCCCATTGTGCCACAAAATGCGTCCGAATTTGGTTTTCGTTAGAAAAGAAATTTGATATTTGAAAACAGTGCGTACATTTGAGTATACAAATTACTTATTTTCTCCTGAGAACATCAAGATTGCAACAAGTGTGTATTAACTTTAAAAAATGCATGTATTAACATACGGGAAAAATATTTGGATATAAATCGACCTCCTTGGTAAAAATGATGAAAGCAAAATTTTCCCCCGACGGAAACTCATCCTTTTTGTCACAAAGACAAAATGAAGGAACAAGTCTTTATAAACGATGGGGACCAGTGATTATGTAGATACATTCAATCTAAAAATGAGAACTTATAAACTGGTTCTCTTCAGGAATATTTGACATTAATTAATACGTGTTAAAGGCTCTTTATGTTTGAATTTTTATTTGCATAACCTATGAAGAAAAATCTACTTTTAGGGCTACTTTTTATTAAAAATCTTTCAAATTTCAAATATTTCTGAAAATCTTACAAATTGTCAACTTAATGGCCCCCTTTTGAATGGTAACAATATAATTTGGAATAGAAATAAATACTTTCATCTATATTGTTTTAAAAAACACATCAAACACTTGTTTTTTCTTGGTATCATGTTTCCAGAGTGAAATGAAACATCTTTCCGAACCTCATTGGAACAAAACGACATAAACACAACATGTTTAGGTCTCTCAATATTGTAATTGTACAAAGGAAATTTTGGTTGATTTCAAAAAAGCATCTTGTTAATGAAATAAAAGGTTTTTCTTGATTTTTATCTATGTTGGGGGGATTTTGTTTTAATTTTTTGGATAGTTTTTTAAAATCAACCAAATATTCCTTTGTATAACTTTAATATTGAGAGGTCTAAAAACATGTTGTATATGCTATTTTGTTCCAACAAGGTTCGGAAAGATATTTTATTTCATTCTCAAGGATTGGTAGAAAGGAGAAAAAACAATTGCACTAAAAAAACAAAAAATGTTAACAAAAACAGTTATATAACATATTTCTAAATAATTTTTGCATTAAATTGTTGTCAATCAGTCAACATTACATTAAATACCATGTTTTTTTACAGAATGTTTTCAATGATTAACTTTATTTAACTATAAATTGATATGTTCCTTCAGGTTCAAAAAGGTTATAGGTCCAAATTATTTTCAAAAAATCTCTCCCATTGAAATAACACAGGGGTCGAAAATGATTTTCATGCTCAGTAACTTTAGTATTCATGAAGTAAACTAAACACTCAGCGTGCAAAAAACTTAGACAATTCAATTTTTACGTAGAAATATTTTTGGTGAATCTTTTACTAAATAGATATCCTGAAATCAGATTCGAACCCACCATTCCCCATTGGTTTACATGGGAATGACGATTTCGAAATTCATCAAGTTCCTCCATTCGTGACGTGGGGTCAGTTCACAGATGGCAGAATTTTTTTAGGAAATACATCCTAAAGAAATACATGTATTTATTTAGGATGTACATGTAGGCCTAGACTATATCCAATAGACTGAGTTGCCTGAGAATTAAGTCTATTGATTAGTATGTCCCTCTTGTGGGATAAAACAAGAAAGGAGAGGTGAACTTTTTGAACACGCGTTTCTCTTAAACCAGTCATCAAAACATTCTGAAAATACACATCGTCAATTTAATGGTCATCTTTTGGATGGTAACATTATAATTTCAAATACATTTATATACTTTTTTCTATATTGTTTTAGAAAACATATGAGACACTTCTTTTGTTCCTGGTATCATATGTTCGGAATGAAATGAAACATATATAGATCCGGGGTTTGTTTTAAGTTTTTGCATACTTATTGTAAAATCAACCAGAATGTCCTTTGTATAACCATAATATTGAGAAAAATGTTTTATATGCTATTTTGTTCCAACAAGGTTCGGAAAGGCATTTTATTTCATTCTCAAGAATTTGTAGAAAGGAATAAAAATCAATTGCACTAAAAAGCAAAAAATGTTAACAAAAACAGTTATATAAAATATATATATATATATAATTTTTGCATTAAATTGTTGCCAATCGCTAAACATTAAATAAAGGACCGTGTCTTTTTACAGAATGTTTTCAATAATTGGTAAGAGAAAAACATTGTTGAATTCAGTTCACCGATAATATCGATACCTATCATCTCCTGCACACAATAGCATTAAAACGATTCAATTAAGTAGTAAGGTACAATTAAATGCTATAAAAAGTAATACATCATATTGTCAAATGGAAATAAAGCTAGGGGAAGTAACAAATATGCAAATTAATTAGCCCAATCGGCCATTTTGAATGGCACTTCCTATGTAAACAAATCATTTTCAATCCCAAATTTTAACATACAGTATGTGGGCTATAGTCTGAATATTTTCATTCCAACAAAAAAAATCCAGACTACAGTGCTCACCATAAATAAATGACACCTGGATTTGCTGAAGTGAGGATTTCACATGTTATATAATAAAAACGAGAGAATTTCCAAGGGGCCATACATAATACATTAGTAGTTCAGAGTATACAAAATGTAAAATATACAAACCTAAAGGGATGTGTACCTAGACATTTTTGGAAAGTATGAAGTCTCAAATCACCATGGAATGGGGATAGAAAATCAAGATGCCATTTTATAGTGGGTCAGTTGCGTTAGTGATGTAGGTGTATTTCATACCTACTGAGGTTCTAGGTAAATCATACCTTATAACTTGAAATTCCAAAATTCCAAAACATCGGTAAGCTACGTGTTTTCTTGGCCTATAGTCCATGGTATGACTTCCGAATATGAAGGATCCGTAGCACACTATAGCGCAGCAACATTTAAAGCAATATTTATGAAGGTGTATATGTCTTGATTCTTCTATAATACCATTTGCTGAAAAAACTTCCGGCTTTCGGGTCGAAGAATGTCTTTCATCACGTACAAGGGATCAAAAAACGTAAATATTTTGATTCGAACTTTTATACATTTTATAAGACACAAACCGTTATTCTAAGCATACGAACAAAAAAAAGATTATCATAATGTAAAAATACTCTACAATTTTACTGTATATGTCGGTGTTTAATAAGTGTAATCACACAAGTGTATTTTTCAGATTTTGTTTTATTTTCCAAATATGAGCCAAGCCGATTCAACAAAATTGTGTGGAATATTTAGACGGGGGCCCCTTTAGATAATTTATGATTGGGAACATCTTAGTCTTCTTACAATTTAAAACATTTTATTACCAGAATTTTTCTATATAATCGCAAGGGGTCTAACAACAAATTATTGTTCCTGTTTTATAAAACATAATACACTTAACAAATAGGTACGATTTATATCTAATTAAATGTTACAGGGGTATTGGAATGTTCATATATTCCAAGGGCATGTCTAATAATCAATTTTAGTCATATGCAATCGAACGCCTTACAATTCTTCCTCGACGTTACTTGTGGCTATCATC